CAGCAGATCCTCATGCAGCAGCAGCTACTTAGGTTCATGTAGCATGTTGTGACAGCTATTGGGGCTCCACTGCCATAGTCTTTGCCCAGCTTGGTCAGACTGCCACCACTTCTATGACTCCAGCGTTACAGCCTAGTGGGCTTCAGAGTCAGGGACAGCCACTAGCACAGTTTGCTTCACCTACAGAGCAGGTGTCCTAGTATTTTGCTTCGCTAGTGCTGGCCCCACAGTTCACACCTCTTCAGGCAGGCTTCACACCGGCTGAGACGTCCTCGCTGCTAGTGCTAGAGACTACAGTGTCCAGGAGCCTTGGTGCTTCCTTTAGTGAGTTGACAGGGCAGCCTACTCCTCCATATCTACATGTCCTAGGTCCTTCTACTGTTGCACCTATTAGCAGGACTACAGAGACGCTCCCTTCCTCAGTGGCATCATCAGAGCCGGCCGCTTCAGTCATACCAGCACAGCCTTCAGTAGCTCCAGTCCCTAATCCGACCCAGACTGCTTTAGCATCGCTTCCAGCTACAGAGGGTTAGATAGCTCAGAGCTCAGGGTCAGATGATGATGGCACTTAGTTCTAGCTCGCTCCTCGTACCTCAGCGCCTAGCTCGTCCATTGCATCCCCACCGACCGATCCTTAGGTTTTGGTGTTTGACGCCAAAGGGGGAGAGGGTTCGAGTATGTTAGACTTAGGGGGAGCGACATATCTAGGGGGAGCTTAGTTTATCTTTTAGCTTATCTATTACATTTGGAGTTTTTATGTGTGATACACTATTATGCATTCGTCATGTGTTTACTTGTTATGCATCAAACTATATTTATGTGATAGTGATATCTACGTGATCGTGATATATGACATGTGTGCTCTCTATTTTGAATCATTTATGTCATATCACTTGTGTTGTGCTCATTTGCTTTTGCTTCTGTGTTTTACTCTGATGCAAATGAGCTTTATTACTTATACTCATGCTTATTTCATATCTTTTGAGTACATTATGTTGGCTTGGGTCATATAAGCTTCCCTAACACTTTTGTTCTTATTGCCAAAAGCTTATATGAACCAAGCATGTTAAAAACCTCATCTCTTTCACATACTCGAGGTGGTATTGTCATCAATCACCAAAAAGGGGGAGATTGAAAGCATCTAGGCCCCTAGTTGGGTTTCGGTGATTAATGACAATACGTTATTACTATGACTAACGTGTGTTTTGCAGAGGCAATTAAGTTAGGTCATGGTAATGGAGATCGATTGGGCAATCGTGGTGGTCATGCCCCTATGATGGAAATTGTTTCAGTTTTCAAAGGATGGACGACAAGGTTAAGGATGGACTAGTTCTAAGTGTTGTTTGGAGTTAAAGAGACACTTAGAGTAGTTTAGGACTTTGTTTTTCCTTTGGCCGTACTATTAAGGGGGGTATGGATGGGTAGCTTGACCTAGGTGAGTCTAGTGGGTTAGGTGTGGTGCACACTTGCTAAAACTAGCACTAGGTAGCTCTAAAATAGCCCTTAGATCCAATGGAGCAAACTTCATTCACGTATGATCGAGAGTTGGAAGTGAATGGAGGGTCAAATACTAACCGGACGCTGGTTCCGGTATGATCGGACGCAGGCGTAGAGTCCAGTCAGTTCATTTGACCAAGGTGTTTTCATCTGGTACGATCGAACGCTGAGAGGTGAAGTGACCGGACGCTGAGGGTCAGTGTCCGGTCAACTCCAGTAAGGTTCTAGAGAGGGAAAATCATGACCGAGCGTGTTTGGTCACACCTTAAACATTGGAGTTCGGGGCGAACATGACCGGAGCGTCCAGTCACCCCGTAGAGGCACATAACGGTTCGTTTTTCAACCGGTGTTATAAATACCACCTCCACTCATGTGTGGGGGTACTTTTGCTCATTCCAATAGCTGAGAAACACCTTTGAGAGTGCCAAGAAGAGCAAGGTCCTAGTGAGGTGATTGAGATTTGAGAATCCTAAAGAGAGCTCTCATTAGTGAGATCAAGAGTAGCAAAGTGTGCATCCACCCTTCTCATTAGGCTTGTTGTGGTCAAGTGAGAGTTCGTGCTTGTTACTCTTGGTGATCGCCATCACCTGGACGGCTTGGTGATCATCCGACGGAGCTTGTGGATGACCCAACTCATGTCGTGAACGGTTGTGGGTGATTCACCGCGATGGAGTGTCGAAGAATCAACCCGTAGAGAGCACTTGATCCTTGCGTGGATCAAGGGGGAGCTACACCCTTGCGTGGGTGCTCCAACGAGGACTAGTGGGGAGTGGTGACTCTCCGATACCTTGGCAAAACATCACCGTGTTCCTCTTTCTCTCTTTACTTTGAACATTTACTTTGAGCAATTCAATTCTTGTCATTTACATTCCTAGAATTGCCATGCTAGAGTAGGATTGGAACTTAGGGTGCTAAACTTTTGTGCGTTAGATAAATAGAAACACTTTCTAGGCACAAGGGGTTAATTGGGCTAACCGTAGAGTTTAATTATTGCAATGAAATTTAGAATTAGCCCAATTCACCCCCCCCCCTCTTGGGCATCTTGATCCTTTCATACATCATCCACACTCGGGCATCTGAGGTAAGGACCACTCAACCCAAATATGATGAAGATCCTTATCCTACGCATGCCAATTATGCTACTATGATGGATGATCATAAAAAGTAATTGATAATAATATTTTAGCTGCGGTAAATATGATCATGGTTCTTTTTGATAAGTTAGAAGGGAAAACAACCGATGGTAATCAATCGGGTGTTGCTTCTTCTTCTAAACAACCTGAGTTTGGCATGTCTTTGAATTTTTATGAGAACCAAGGATTATATGCTGCACAAACAAAGGCAAATCAGCCCTTTCGGCATTTGAAACCGATAAGGCTGGTTTAGCCAGTGTTGCTCCATCTTCACAATTGGTCATCTATGATCAAAATTCGGCTCAAAACACACGAACCGATCAAAGATCAGCAACAAACCGAGCTTTGGCGGGGCAAAACACGGTGCTTCCTAACCCACCGAAGTCACCAAGTCAAGTCCCTATACTTGATAATGCACCTACTGCTCCTACTACAAATTTTAATGATACATTGAATTGGTTTAGAGAGGAATTGTCTAAATCACTTGAGGGGAGTTTGGGTGTACAAATCAAGCCTAGTAGGACTACATACCGCAAACCGTACCCTTCGCATTTTGATTTCATGAAAGCACCTGATGGTGGAGGGTACCTGATTTTAATAAATTTAGTGGTGATGATAGTAAATCTACCATGGAGTATATTGGTATGTTTCTTGCATAGTTAGGTGAAGCTAGTGCCTATGATTTCATGAAAGTTCGTAATTTTCCCTTGTCATTTACTAGCACAGCTTTTGCATGGTTTACTTCATTACCAACTTGTTCTATCGGTTCATGGGCTAAATTGGAAGAGAAATTTCATAATTACTTTTATAATGGTGCTCATGAAACTAGATTGTCTCACCTTACATCGGTTCATCAAGGGCGTGATGAGAACCGATGCTTTCATTTAATGATTTCTAAAAGACATTTAACTAATTTATGCTTTGCTGGTTTACGTCCTCGTATTAGGGAGAAACTTGAGCATTATGAATTTGTTAATGTTAATCAATTGCTACAAAAGGCCGTTTCGGTTGAATCGCGCCTTAAAGAGTCTTGTGATGCTTACAAGTCTAATCATCAGAATGTGCATTTTGTTGGGGATTGTTCTGATGATAATAATAAAGAGTTATTCCCTGCTGAAATTAAATAGCCAGCAAAAAATAAATTAGTTACTTGTCCTTCTCTCAAGCCGATTCATAAGAATCAGAATGAGGAAATGAAATTTACTTTTGATTTTTCTAAATGTGACCGAATCTTTGATGAATTGTTGAAATTCAGTTATATTAAAATCAATTATACATTGCCTTCAGCTGATGAGTTAAAGAGAAGGGCTTATTGCAAATATCATAATTTTTTTCTCACGCCACTAATGATTGCAATGTTTTCCATCAGCAGGTCCAATCGGCCCTTAATGAGAGACGATTGAGTCTTTCTGATATGCAAGTTGATAAAGCTCCTTTCCAATACATATGACTGAAGCTAGAGAGCCTGCTATTTTGATTCGTCCAGACCAAGCCGATACAACTCAAGGTAAGAATATGATTATCGGCGAACCACGTGTAGCACCGAATGTCAAAAAGAATTTTCGAGGCGCAAGGTGGTGCTTGAGAAGGATGATGAAGGCAAGAATAAGTTGAGGATCATGGCTAGATCAACGCAATTCTTGAGAAGGCAGTGGTGGTACAAAATAGCGGCAGCACAACAGAGGCCGTCTAGGCTGACTTCCTAGGTCGGCTAAGCCGATTCCAGCACGCAGCAGAGCCAATCGGCTCAGCCGACCCAGGGGGTCGGCTTAGCCGACTCCACCTTAGCCAGGTCGGCTAAGCCGACTACCCCAGTCGGCTTAGCCAACTCCCCTGGTTCCAGCAGCCCTGGTTCCCCTAGTGCTCGTGTTTTGCACACATTTATTCCACGACGGCCAGAGATTCTTACCTAGAAGACCAATGAGAAGAAGAACCAGTGAGAGCTTGTGAAGAAGCAATGCACCTTTGATAGGCTCATGACCAAGTATAAGCAACAAAAGGCTGATTCCTAGAATCGGCCATTAAAAAAGAGAGTCTACTCTGCCTAAGCGAGAGGATGACAAGGCCAAATAGTTGGCGGTGGTTTAACCAATAGCTCCACCTTAAAGAGTTGCTCCTCGTGTATCTCATTGGGGTCCCCCGATTCCACCTCGGGTTATGCCATAATGGGGTCCCTATGGAATTTTTGTGCCATATCCTCCGGCAGCACCTATGCACAGTCAGCAAAGGTGGGGACAGCTTGCTGGTCAGGTTCCAAGAACCTTCGTGTTTAGCCGATTGAACAATGGTTAATCGAGCTTCGGCGGTGCAAGTCAAGATCGGGTGATTACTTCTAGGACTCTGACTCCACAAGAATCGGGAAAGGCACCAATGCAGCAATTTTATGTGCCTAAGAAGGTTGAGGTTCCCGTCATTTCCCCACCAAGGGCTAGGCCTCAATTGGTCATCACAATCGGCTCCATGGAAGCTCCTATTTCTAATCATAATGGGCCGATTGTAATTGAAGAAATTCTAGCACCCAAGCAAGATGAACCTCTTAAAGAAGTTGCTGGAGTTGAAGAGAAGAAACACGCCGAAGGAGATTCCAACTACCGGTAGCCCATATGGTGTCCTCGTGGGTTGAATAAAACTCAACGATGTAAGTTACAGCGTGCCCGACATAAGCAACAAAAGAGGGAGAAGCTTGCAAAGATGGAGGGTGAAATCTTCAACCCTATTCACACCAAAATCCCTCCAGAACATCAAAATGCCGCTGCCACTGCTGGCCAGTATGCCTAGCCGACTCCAGAGTCGGTTAAGCCAACTCTTGCTGATGGCTAGTTGGCTAAGCCGACTGCTACCCCTACTACCACTCTAAGGCACCCAGACTTGGCTAAACCGACTGAGGAGTCAGCTAAGATGACTGTTGCTGCCCCTGTTGCTCTAGAAGTTCCAAAGTCGGCTGAGCCAACTTCTGCTGTACCAGGTGCCTCCGGGGTGTCCTCTGATGATTTTGCTACTATCGTTGCTACCCTGGTTGGCATGGAGGTCCCTGAGGTTCTCGATGAGGAGATGGTTGATTATGAGGCTACCCCGAAGAGAGCGGAGGTCAATGTGGTTATTTTATCTACCGATTATTATATCATGGCGGATGATGCTACGACGATGGAGTTTAATTTCATAATGAGAGTGCTGTATTTTAGAAACTAGATGACTCCGTCAACCATCTCAAACCTCTACATGTGAAGGGCCATGTCAATGGCACATCGGTCCATAGCATGTTGGTGGACAGTGGGGCAATAGTGAACTTGATGCCATATCCGCTTTACAAGAAGCTTGGTGACACTGATGAGGAGCTAATCAAGACCAACATGACCATTAGTGGTGTTGGAGGAGGTGCTCCTATCCATGGCAAAGGAGTTGCTAACATGGAACTCACCATTGGAAGCAAGACCTTGGCTACGGCATTCTTCATCGCCAACGTGCAAGGTAGCTACAACTTGATACTTGGGCATGATTGGATCCATGCCAATCGCTGTGTGCCATCTAGCTTGCACCAATTTCTCATTGAATGGGTGGGAGATGCTATTGAGGTTGTGCATTCAGATTCATCGGCTGATGTTGCTGCAACCAATGCTCCTTCGCTCAGGGGGGCACGATGCTATTGCTTGCTTGTCTGGATGGGATCTTTCTAGCTATGAATTTATTAGTGTTACCAGGCAAGGTTTTGTTCCTGTATCATTGAAGTCAATTGATAATCGGCTCAATATCATTGTGTAATCAATTTATTGTAATGGATGCCAACGTTGAATGGTTAAAACATCATGTTGAACAGTATTAGGCTAATAAGACCGATGTCTGTGAAGTTATTGATGATTTTGATGAGCTCGATAAGTTGGGCCAAGGTTTTACAATGGCTGACCCTTTGGAACAGGTTGATATTGGGGATGGCTCTGTGCCCCGGCCGATGTTTATTAATCAAAACTTGGAAGCCAATTACAAAGATGAGTTAATCGCGCTTCTCAAGGAATATGTTGATTGTTTTGCATGGAACTATACAGAGATGACTAGATTGAGCTGAGAGCTTGTTGAGCATCGGGTCCCCATTAAGAAAGGATTTAGGCCTTTCAAGCAAAACCCCCGCTGATTTAATTCTATAATTTATGATAGGATTAAAGAGGAGATTAATCGGCTATTGCAAGCGGGGTTTATTCAGCCATGCATATATGTGGAATGGGTCTCTAATATTATGTCTGTTGACAAGAAAGATTCTGGGAAGATCAGAGTCTGTATTGATTTTAGAGATCTGAATAGAGCTACTCCGAAAGATGAATATCCTATGCCTATAGCCGATATGCTTATCAATGATGCTTTAGGACACCGGGTTATTAGCTTTCTTGATGTTAACATCGGTTATAATCAGATTTTCATGGCCGAAGAAGATATGTCTAAGATGGCCTTTATATGTCCTGGGTTTGTTGGTCTCTTTGAGTGGGTTGTGATGACATTTGGGCTCAAGAATGCAAGTGCTACTTATCAAAGAGCTATGAATTTGATTTTTCATGATCTAATTGGGGTGATTATGGAGGTTTACATTGATGATATTGTGATCAAATTGGCTTCCCATAAATCTCATTTGGCCGATTTGCGTCTTGCTTTTGAGAGGATGTGCCGCTATGGTTTGAAGATGAACCCACTCAAATGTGCTTTTGGAGCATCGGCTAGAAAGTTTTTAGGCTTCATAATTCATGATAAAGGCATATAGGTTGATCCCAAGAGGATAGAGAAGATCAAGAAAGTTTAGGTGCCTACATGCAAGAAGGACTTGCAAAAGTTCTTGGGAAAAGTGGACTACTTCAGAAGGTTTATGGCTAACTTGTCCAGGAAAATTATTCCTTTCACCCCTATATTGAAGCTAAAGGATGAATCTGAATTCACTTGGGGGGCAAAGCAACAAAAAGCATTTGAGAAGATAAAGGAATATTTATCAACACCACCGGATCTTCCTGCGCCTAGAAGAGGAGTTCCTTTCAAGTTATATATTATTGCCGAAGAGAAAGTAATCGGGGCTGTTTTGACTCAAGAAGACGGAGGTAAAGAATATGTAATTGCTTATCTTGGTCGCCATCTTCTTAATCTCGAGACAAGGTATGCCCATATAGAGAAATTATGCTTATCACTATACTTTGCTTGTGCTAAGATAAGACATTATCATTTGTCTAGTACATGTGTTGTTGCTTGTCAGGCCAATGTTATAAAGCACATGTTATATCGGCCAATTCTTCGTGGAAGGATAGGCAAATGGGCATACGCATTAATTGAATATGACTTGACTTTTGAACCATTAAAATATTGAAAGGTCAAGTTCTTGTTGATTTTATTGTTGAGCATGGTATTGATTTAGATGATGAAGTCAATTACCTTACTTTTACTCCATGGAAATTATATTTTGAAAGATTGGTTTGTAAAGATGGCCAAGGTGTTGGTATTATTCTTGTTTCTCCCAATGGTGCTGAAATTGGAATGTCAATCAAACCAAATATGAAGCTCTCTTATTCGAGCTGATCATGTTGCGGTCCATGGAGGTAAAACATGTTGAAGCTTATGGTGATTCCTTGCTGGTGGTATAGCAAGTTGCTGGTGAATTTCAATGTTTAGAAGGATCACTAAGAACTTGTCTTGATGCTTGCCATGATGTCATTCACTATTTTGCCAAATTTTGAATTTGGCATATTCTGAGGCATGAAAATCAAAAGGCCAATATGTTAGCTCAACAAGCATCTAGCAATGATGTCGGTGGGCATAATTTTCATATTCAAGAACAGCCGATGCATGAAAATTTGAATTTTCTCCGTGCAGGTGCAGACCAGTCGTCTAAGCCGAATGACCTAGTCAGCTCAGCCGATTCCTTCTTTGGTTTGGCCAACTCGACTAGGCCAACTACCCTAGTCGGTCGGGCCAACCCCTCCAAGTCAGCTAGGCCGACTGCCCTAGTCGGCTCAGCCGACTCCCCTGTGACTAGCCCAGTCAATTCCCTTGAGAAGCTATCAAATCAGCCCAATGTAACTTCCAGTGATGTTGGGGCCAATTTAGAAGATTGGAGGACTACCTTGTTGAGATATTTACTCGATCCAAGTGTTAAGATTGATAAAGGTGTTCGGCGGAGTGCTTTCAAGTATGTGTTGCATAAAGATGAGCTCTATTGGAGAACCGCTAAAGACTTGCTGCTTAAGTGCTAGGGATCAGATCTGGCAAGAGTGGCTATGGGAGAAGTTCATGAAGGCATCTATGGTATGCATCAATCGGCCCCAAAGATGAAGTGGTTATTGCGTAGAGCCGGTTTTTATTGGCCTACTATGATGGCCGATTGCTTTTGTAACTACAAAGGTTGCGAAGAGTGTTAGAAGTTTGGAAATATTCAGCTTGTGCCTGCTGCTATGCTTCATCCTATCATCAAACCATGGCCTTTTCGTGGTTGGGGGCTAGATTTCATTGGCCAAATACATCCCCCATCTTCAAAGGGACACCGATTTGTGTTGGTTGCTACGGATTACTTTACAAAGAGGACCAAGGCAGTTCCTTTGAAGAATATGACGCACAAGGAGGTAATTGAGTTCATTACTGAACATATTATCCATAGATTCGGCATCCCTCAAACATTAACTACAGACCAAGGGACATCATTTGTGTCTAAGGAGGTGAGAAATTTGCCGAATTATATAAGATTAAGTTGCTCAATTCATCTCCATACTATGCTCAAGCTAATGGCCAAGCTGAGTCTAGTAATAAGACTTTGATCAAGCTTATCAAAAAGAAGATTGACGAGAATCCAAGGAGGTGGCATGAAGTTTTGTCTGAAGCTCTATGGGCACATCGTATTTCAAGTCCTAGTGCTACAAAGGTTACTCCTTTTGAGCTAGTATATGGTCAAGAGGCCGTGTTACCCATCGAGGTGAATTTGGATGCATAGAGGCTTGCTAAACAAAATGATCTATCTGCTGTCATGTATCATGATTTGATGATGGATAATATTGATGAGGTGACTGATGTTGGATTAAAAGCTCTCAAGGAGATAGAAAAAGACAAAGCTCGAGTTGCCAAGGCATACAACAAGAAAGTCAAGAGCAAATCCTTTGAAGTGGGAGAATTAGTGTGGAAAACCATACTTCCAATTGGATCGAAGAGCAATCAGTTTGGCAAGTGGTCACCAAATTGGGAGGGTCCTTATAAAGTGATCAAAGTCATATTCGATAATTCCTATCTACTAGAGACATTGCAAGGTGAATCTCACAAGAGCAATCAACGGGAGGTATTTGAAAAAGTACTTTTCAAGTGTTTGGCAAGAAGCCTAAGCGCTCTTCAAGCAATGGCCGATACATGTATCACCGTTAGAACAAAAATGGTCGATGTATACATCGCCCTTAGTCGCTGAGCAGCCGATGAGATGGGTATCGTCGTTGTTTGGTTTTGTTTTGTTTGATTAAGTATTTTTAGGTTCATGCATCATTCACCTCAAAACAGGGGGCATATGTTGACACCGAAAAATATCCCAAGGTGGTTTCAGGCACCATGAATAAGTTATAAACATCTTGGACAAGTTTGAGGTCAAGAGGCGCGAC